TTTTGGTATGTTTTCCAGGTATTGCGGGGGATTTGTGTTCTGGTATGGGTGGTAAATATCGGTCATTTCCGGGACCCTTCTCATGGCGGTTTTTTGCAAGGTGCAATTCACTACTTCAAGGTAAATAACCCTGGAGGAATTATATCTCAGCTTTAAGAATTAGATCTGTTTGAGGTTTCTGTAATTACTTTTTGTGTAACAAAAGTTTGTCTTCTTTGAGAGTTTTTCTTTTTGGCATCTTGTTGAGTTCTTATTCTTGAAACACGATCTTCCCATGATTGACTTTGTTAACTTCTAAATCATAACTTCTATGTTATGTTGCATTTGTGCTGTGAGTTTGAAGGCATTGTTTATGAATTGGAACTAAGTTGATTGCTCAATATACAACCACTTATTTGTTTTCTGTTGTTGTAACTCGAAAACCACTTGGTTTTCCCTGTCCTAGATTGCAGTTGCTCTTGCCGTTGCAGCAATTCCTGAAGGGCTTCCAGCTGTTGTAACCACGTAAGTGCTTTGAGTTACTGTGCTGTATATGAATGATCATGGTGTGCAGTAGATGCTTGTGATTATTTTTTGAAAGAGTGGATGCTCTCTAACATAGAGTGCAGGTGCCTATATATCTCTATTCTATTAGCTTGTGGGGAACCGTGTCTCTTTGATGTTCTTGGTAGAAAAAGATTATGATATGGGGAACTGTGTCAAATACATCATAATCATAATCTCAAAGTCTTTTGGACCTAAATATGTGTGCTGAAGTCTGTTTATATAAGTGATTTTTTTTCTTTTTTTCAAAATTTATGATGGTACAATGTAGCGTTAACTGCGGAAATGGTACTGATCTTGATACATTCATACTTAATGTTCTAATGCTTCCTCATTGTAGATGTTTGGCTCTAGGAACGAAGCGAATGGCACGGCTGAATGCTATTGTACGTTCTTTGCCATCAGTGGAGACTTTAGGTTGTACTACAGTGATTTGCAGTGACAAGACAGGAACTCTGACAACTAATATGATGTCTGTTTCAAAGGTTGTCATCTCAGATACTGTATTGTATGACATTACATCATTGTAATACTTTTTACATCATTTTTACAAGTTTATGAGGGAGTTTCCGTAAGCATGGTGGGTTGTGCAACATTAACTCCACACAGTTATGTTTCCGTCGATCTTTTTTTTGCTTTGGTGCTAAAAGTATGGGATGTTTAGTTTTAAAATTTGAAGAGTTAAATCATAGGTTGCTCATTTAAGTTCGAAATGCTTTGTGCTTGGTAGATTGGATTACCTAAGAAAGTTTACTTACCTGTGTGGACTGCAGCTCTTCCATGTATCTCATGACAAAAATGATTATTATTAGATCCAAGTCAATATTGCAACCTATTAGTTTAAATTTCAGTTACTGGAGGTTAATATCATTTAAATATCTGAAGTTAAAATAATTTAAATATCCTCAGTGATCAATTTACAACCTTTATGATAACTTTACAAATGGCATTTGACATCTTTTTCTCTGTTTCTTTAGATATGTGTTGTTCATTCTATAGAACGTGGTCCTGTGATTGGTGAATATAGTGTTGGTGGGACAACATATGCACCAGAAGGCACCATTTTTGACAGCAGTGGGATGCAGGTAAGCTTTAACATGATTTCCAATTTGTATCATGATGGTGCTTACTTGTCATTAAGAGCTAGCCTAGCAATGTGCACACTGTTTTTGTAATTAATTGACATGTTGCTTTATGCATGTAGTGGGTAGCATATGCATGTTTTAGGTTTTCCATTTGCATGCTGTCCACAATATATGATTATTTTGCAGCTCGAATTCCCTGCTCAGTCGCCTTGCCTTCTTCACTTAGCAATATGTTCAGCCCTTTGCAATGAGTCTGTTTTACAGTATAATCCAGACAAGTGTATGTATGAAAAAATCGGGGAATCAACTGAATTTGCCCTCCCGTGTTCTTGCGGAAAAGGTTATGTTTATTTCTTCCTTCTAGCATAAATTCTGCACTGCACTTATGCACCTTGATTACTTATATGATGAGATACCACCACGATGCCTTGCATAAAAATATTATGAAAAGCTATTGCTTTTGAAGGATTTTATAAATTGTTTTCTCAAAATTGTTTTGACTCAGTTTCAAAAATATTCAGAATTTTGAAATGTTAATGTACAGAAACCAGCTGTCTGTTACTAGTTTCCCCTACCTAAGATACTTCTGGCCTCATGGATGGATCTCCACTTTCATCTCCCTCAAGATTAATTTGCTGGCATACCGCTGGCATACTGCAACACTTCTACTCTCATTAAGAGTGCTATGATCAGCCCTTGGGAGAAAGACAATCGGCCTGTATCTCCTGCTTTTTGGCTCCCCAAAATTTTCCACCAAGCTTATGCAGCAAATAAAGTGCCTTTCAATGCCTCCAAGCATTGAGCCCATCACAAAAAAAGTATCTAGGGCCACCTCACGTATTGGCCCATCACGGTTTCTTCAGAGAGCCATAATGTATTCTCTACTTGCCTCATTAACCTAAAAGACCTGTGGGTTTTCTTCTCATCCCTACCAAAACTGAGTCCGAGGCTGGAAAATACTATTCCTATCGAAATATACTTTAGATACTATTTCCTTGCATCCCTGTCAATATTTCGATTCTGTCCTTCAACATTGAAGTACTCTTTTAGATGAACAGCTAAGTCCCTCAGTTGTTCTAAAATGAATTCAAGTTGAAGACATACTTTTTCTTCTTCTTATAACTTCAACCAGACTTATTTATTCTTTTTAAGAATAAAATTAGTTACTCATTAGCAGGTGACTGATTAGTTTACTTCCTGGTTCTCTCCTTTATGTCTTTTTTGCATGCTTTTTATAAACAATAGTTTGTCTTAAGGTGTCGACTTACTTGGCTATCACTTTCTTTTCAGGTTGGGCTACCTGGTTTTGATTCTATGCCTTCTGCTCTAAACATGCTTAGCAAGCACGAGCGGGCATCTTACTGTAATCACTACTGGGAGAATCAATTTAGAAAGGTTGGCTTTCAGAAGCTGATCTATGTTTTACTGAATGGTTTTTATTTTCCCTACAGAAATAGGAGTAAGAAATGGCGAACTGAAAGGTTTTTGACACTTTAAACTAAACCATTTTTAAGGATATGTCTTAAAAATCTAAATAGATCAAAATTTGTAACCCATATCAGAGACTCTGCCCTGCAAATAGTGAATTTACTGAACTGCTTTGAAATTTGATACATTAAAAGCTTCAGTTATTTCTAAGGACTCGAATAAAATGAACTAGTAGCATGATGACATGGCTGCACTGTGGAAATCTCCCAAGTGAGCTGTAGATGGACCAGTCTCTAAAATTGTTCCTTCTTGACTTCATCATATTCATCTGGCTCAGGGAGCGCAGAATTTTTTGAAATCTTCTAAGTAATTAATCTTAACTTACATATGCAGAAAGTATATTAAAATCAATTATTTTAGACATCCTTACTTTCTATCAATATGGAATTCCTTCGGTGATATCGAAACAATGATAGCAGCATTACTATCCAACTGGGTTATGGAAGTAACAAATTACACCTCATACCATGATGATATTAAAAAATTGATTCTCCTGAAGTACCATTAACTGTGGTAGTGAAATGAATTTGTTGATTTTGAAGTGAAATGAGTAATATTTCTGCTTCTTTTCTTACCAAAAGGATTCTGCTTTGTCATTTGTTCCTTGAAGTGCCATTAACTATGGCAATGAGAAGAATTTATTGATTTTGAAGTGAAATGAGTAATATTTCTGCTTCTTTTCTTACTAAAGGATTCTGCTTTGTCATTTGTTCCTTCTCTTCACGGAGGGACTGCTAGTTATATGTAAAGCTTCCAGCTGTGTAAACCAGAGTCTAATTGCAAATAATACTTGCATCTTTGACAGTAACTTCTAGCTAGTTGTCTGTCTACCCAGCTTGAAATTAATGCTTTGCAGGTTTTTACGTTGGAATTTTCTCGTGATCGCAAAATGATGAGTGTCCTTTGTAGTCATAAGCAGACGGATATTATGTTTTCAAAAGGTGCTCCTGAGAGCATCATAACTAGATGCACTAATATCCTCTGCAATAATGATGGTTCCACTGTTCCACTGACTGATACAGTCCGCTCTGAGGTGGAGTCAAGGTTCCGCAGGTTAGACAGCATATATATCTATATGTATGTATTTTCATGAATATGAGGATCTCATTTAAGTTTATTTATTTTTATACTCTCTATACTAAGAGAAAGTGTTGAATTCCAAATTGATGTTAAAACGTTTTCTTCTGGTTTATGTTTTTCTTCACTCTGCCTTGATTAATCTAGATGACTGCAGAACAATTTTTTCCTTGAAGTCTGCTTGACTATCAACCTTTTATGGTTGAGAATTGTCATCTATTTTACCCACTTAGTGTTTTTCGAGTCAATTAATTTTGGTGCTTTATCTTATACTTGTGATCTTTTGAAAGCATTTCTGGTGGTTCCCTGTATTTTCATTTGATCTGCCCTGTATTTTACAGTTCAGATTCTCCCCATTTGTTTTATTTTTCCTGTATGTGGGTTGCACAGTCTGGTAAGCCCACCTATCCTGCTATTTGCATTATGTCATTTTTTGCCCTGTCTAGTTCCGTAATTTGATGTCTGTCTTAATTTTACAGTTTTTTGCATTGCTATGTTACAGCATGTTACGAGTTGGACTTGATGTCAATGTCAGGTCTTCATTTTTTTTATGTAACACCGTGTTATTGGTCAGTCTTGCAGGAAAGCAAACATTGAGATGCCTAGCTCTAGCCTTGAAGCAGATGCCTAGGGGTCAACAGACTCTTTCCTCTGATGAGGAGAAAGACCTTACATTTATTGGGTTGGTATGCTTTCTTTTCAAAAACTACTGGTTAGCTTATTTATTGTGTGTATGAAATGCTAGATTTTGTGCACAAAGCTGCTCTGGTTTTTACTATATAGTTGTGAAATTGCCATCGAAATCAAGAAATTTGGTGTTTGCAATACGGCTGCAAGAACTTCAGTTCTGGGTCAGGTGATGGTGATGATTCAAGGATCATCATAGGTATTTTATCTTCCTCGTGTATAAATCCATTATACCTGGTAGCACCCTCTTAGGTCATCGTGAATGAATTTCTTGTGGGATTTTCCTCTAGAGCATCTGGCTTTGTACCAGAGGGTGATTAGAATCATGTACGTCTTCATCAGAATGAGTAGGATAGCAGAGATGGGGTTGACATGACTCACAAAAACCCATGGAAATTCTTGTCTCAATTTACTCTTCTTTTCTTCCTTCGCTTCCATTGAGGGCGGGGGATGGTTATCTCCTACTTTAGGAGGTTTGTGTTTGAGAAAGTTTCTTTTTCTACTTTATTTCCTCACCTTTATAGGTTTGCTTCACATCAACATCATTCTATTGCCTCCTTTGTTATTCAGCGAGGTCCTTGTTTATCTTGGATTGGTATTCTTTCTCCTGTTTACTCTTTTCGCCTTCTGGATCTGCACAGGAAACATCAGTTGCAGGCGTTTTGGTGTTTGCTATGGAGTTGAAAGTTTCTTCAGAAGTTGATGTCTACTTGGACTCTGTTGATAGGATTATTATCATTAATTTGTTGCATGTGGGGCAAGTAGATAGAGATATTTCCGTAGTATGTGTGATATGTTCTTAGGCTTTGAACAAACAATAGCCAATTGTTTTCCAATTTTTTTCCATTGTCAGATAGTTTGTGGCATTGGAATGTTTGTTTGGGGAGTGCTGGTTTGTTCTCCAAAATTTCAGATTTTCTGCTTAGCCTATTTGAGGGGTTTTACGAAGGAGCATAAAACTTTATGGAGGTGTGCCCTTTTTACTGGCTGTAGATTTTGTGGTTGGAATGTAGTGGTGGGATCTTTAACTTGCATTTTTATCCGACAAATATTGTTTTGGACATTGCCTTTGTCAATCATGCAAAAGAATTGGGAGACTATTCTTTATTGATATTTCCCCTTTATTTTTTCTTTTTTGTGTTTTTGCTTTTCTTTCTCTTGGTAGGATGATATTCTTCTATTTTAAATGTTATAAATTTGATACTTTATATTTTAAGATCCTAATAAATCTTTATAAATCCGTTCGTGTACGCATTATCCCTCTCTTGAAGGAGTTATCGGTTAATTCCCAAACCTGCTAGGGGCTTTGTTTTGTATATTTTTGAGCAAATATTTAATTTAGTCTCCGATTTTATACTTCAGTCCTAAATGTTCTTTTTGTCACTACAAAACAGCCCCGAACTTTCTTCTTTGTCTCAAAAGTACTGAGTCCATTTAAAATGGATGGAAAAACCGGAACCAGCTTGTGCATTATTTCGAACCCAAAAATAATTGCTTATGGCTAAGGGTAGATTTCAAAGAGTATAGCTTTTAAGGGCAAAAAATTAGACTGAATTAGGGCATGAATCCTTGAGAGTAGAAACATCACCTTCATCCCTTTATCAGAACCACATGCAAGTCATGGAGGGCATGATGAGAAAATTTGAGGATTGAAATTACTGGGTTTTCTCCTTATCTTCTCTGCAATTCTTTGTTTTCTGAAAATTAGAGATGATTGTGAAAATAGAGGGTCAGGTGCTTGCTAGTGACCATGTGAGTGCAGCGGAACAGATGGTGATGGAGACCAAAGACACCATGGAGGTAGCTGAGAGTTATCTTATTCCATCAATTTCTTCATTTTTTTAAAAATTTATTTATAATGAAGGATGTGATGGAGAACAAGGAGATTTGACGCCTTTTTGGAATCCTAGAATTATTAGAACACAAGGTCATGTGCTTAGTGGTGACTATACGAGTCATGCAGGGCAGGTGGTGATGGAGAACAGCGATGCAGCAGAGGTGGCCAAGGGTCTTTACCATAGTCCATCACTTTCTTTTGTTTTTTAGGTTTATTTTTGCTTGAAGAATGTGATGGAGAAGAAGGAAGCTTCAATTCCTTTTTGAATGACTAGAGATGTTATTTTTAAGTCATCAGGGCTTAGTGATGGATATTGAAGGAAATGAATAATTAGGATCGTATCTTTTTTCTATAATTTCAACTGATTCTGTTTTTTCTTTTTTCTTTTTTTTTTTCCTCCAAGTCATAAGACATTAGCTTTTTTTGGGCTCTCCAAACAAGTTGTTTTTTCCTTTTTGGTGCAAAATTAATGGAGTCACTACTTTAAAGACAAGAAAAAAGTTTGGGGATTGTTTTGTAACCAAAAAAATATTTAGAGCTGAAATCTAACATTTGTCATACTTTGGGGATTAAATTGAGTATTTCCTATGTTTTTCCGGGGTTTGCCTGTCATGTAGAGAACATAGTAGAAGCTAATTAATTATATACAATTCAACATCTTTATAAGGTCTGAAAGGTCCCCTTCTTTGGCCTTATTACTATTAGCCCCAAAAAATAGATTTCCAACCAGAGTTCCTGACCCTTTTCAGTAGGAAGAAACTTTTCAGAGGCTCTTAGGTTCTTTCTTCCAAACGGTCCACAAATATAAAGTGGGATCAGGGCTAAAGTTTATCTTCTGTTAAAAAATTTTCTTATATGTATGTTAAAAATTTGATTAAGAATCAGGATTTTTTTTCTCATGTGATATTTAGATGTAATTAATTCTGGAATCTTGATATAGTCAGTTTATTCAATTTATAACATTTAACAGTTACACCTTGTCATTTTAAGCATTATTTTTAGCCCTTATTTGTCCTTCCTGGTCTGATATCAGTTTTTTTTCCTTTGTTACTTTGAAAGGTTGGAATGCTTGATCCACCGAGAGAGGAAGTGAGAAATGCTATGCTTTCATGCATGACTGCTGGGATACGTGTTATAGTTGTTACTGGGGATAATAAGGTAAGTATAATTTGATACAATTACCTTCTGTTCTGTTTGAGTAACAATTGGCTGTCATTTAAAGCTTTCTTTTCTGATATGAAACAACTTCAGTCCACAGCTGAATCACTTTGTCGTAAGATAGGTGCTTTTGATCACCTAGTTGATTTTTCTGGTCATTCCTACACTGCATCTGAATTCGAAGAACTTCCAGCATTGCAACGAACAATAGCGTTGCAACAGATGGCGCTCTTCACAAGGTATACTTAGGTTATCTCTTTTACTCTCCAAGTTCTAGAATTGTTGCTTATGCATTATATTGGTTGACTTACATGATTTCTCAACTTGGTCAGGGTGGAACCATCTCACAAAATGATGCTGGTTGAGGCCTTGCAGAACCAGAATGAAGTGGTAGCTCTAGACATTTTCTTTAGCCTTTAATTTCTGCACCTTTCTAGGTACATGGGGTTTCCCCATGTTGCCTTGGGAATAATAGATTCATTCAGTAAAACTATATTAATACTATGGAACGTATATTTTCAAGTATAGATATAAAAAAATGGTT